AAATGTTCCATAGTATGCCTCTAAAAACCTTTGGCTATCAGATTATTAATCGAGAAAATAATCGACTTGCAAAATAATCGTTAGCTGCAGCCCTTATGGTGTATAAACTTCACAGCGGCATCCAAAACATACCTGAGCTTTAGCCCCAGCTCTAATTCGCTCCAACAGTCAGACTGTTTTCCTAGCAAAACTCAGTTTTTAACCCCTTTGAATAAAACATCTTCTTGTGCCTTTTTACACCTGATCTTGGACTATTCCCTATTTTTCGTAACTACTCTTTGAGTTCCACGCTCACTCGCCTCCAATGCTTTGGCTTGTTGACCAGTTGTATTCTTGTACAGTGATGTAATCCTGGACACATGATGTTATCGTGGTAAATAAACACAGAAAGGCTACATTTACTAACAAACTGAGAAAAAAAAAATCAAACTATGCTGGCATTGTTTTTCACAAAGACGTCATATGCAGCCAAAGTAGTTTTACTGGCATATAAACAAACAAAAGAACAAATAATGTGGCCATTTACTTTTTTTTTCTTTAGATTATATTTCTTCAGTGTAGAAAGTGGAAGCAATAAAGATGTAAAGATGAACGTCTATTTACTTGTTAAATCTGCAACAGAGAATCTACCATGTGATCCTTTGTGGAGATCTTAATATCACCAAAAAGCTTCAGCGACGGAAATTCTCCAAGATATCAGCGTATCCAAACAAAGAGCAACAACAGACAGATACCATCAGTTGTGATAAGTGTAAATGCTGACAGTATTTTCTTTTTGAAACAAACACTTTAATCAGTTTATCTGCCTGCCTTTTTTCTGAGTGTGAGGAAGTGCATCAACATACCGTCGCCTTCTCTAAATCAGCTTCAGAGGAGGTGGGAGACAGGGGGCTGATGGGACTGAGGGAGGGGGAGCTTCCCACACTGGAGACGTACTCGGGATCAGGAACGTACAGAACCTGCAAACATAACCCATGTCTGTATTTATACCACCGCAGGTGAAAGATGGAGATTCTGTCATGCACAGCAAAACATATGACTGACAAGGGCAAAAACATGAACTCATGGTGAGAGTCTCATGTTAGTGAAACAGTGAACAGACACAGGGAAAGTGACGACGGTGGCAGCAGGTCAGAGTGTGAGGATTAGCAGTGACTGGATGTGATGTCTCGTGCATTTCCTGGCTGGTGTAAAACTCCTATACGCTTCCATTCTGCTCACAAGGTTGACTATATTTGACATCATAGAAGAGGAAATGTGATTTCTACAAATAAATCTATTCACCGCTTAGTTTCTAAAATGTCACAAAATTAAAAAACAATCCATTTCTAAGCCCATAACCCAGCATGGCATTCAGCAGCTCTATAAACCACCTACAGAGAAAACTAATAGTGAATTTAAAATGATTTTGGCTTCTTTTTTTTTTGGATAAGACTTTAATGAGAGTGAATGAGCAGTTAGTATCTTTTTTATTGTCCTCATTTAGCAGGAAAGGGAGAATCATCTAGCATGGGACAGCTAGAGGCAAATCTGAAAGACTTATTTCTACAAACTGTGATCTTTATAAAATCACAGGGAAAAATCTCCGTAAAACTGGTCGTATCGTCAGAGGACTAAGGTTTCTGATGCAGTTGGAAAGTTTATGTGTAAACTGGTACAATATTAAAGATATTACCTTAAACTTCATAATATGCAACTCTTAAAGGGTTTAGACAGGAATGAGTAACTTTAATTTAATGCTTTATAATGTTTTAATACCATCAACAAATACCCATGACTCA